GAGTGATAGTTAAATTTACCCTCACACGTTCCATATTGCTTGATCTGTAGCATTCGCATTCTTTCGGACATTCGGTCCGGCAAGGGCAAAGCAAATCATCGCAACAGGTGCAAGATGCGGGGCAGAACTATAATTTCAAAAAATTTTCGAAAAAAACTTTTATAGCATTTTGCTGGCCGCCCAGAACAGTCAAAGTATAAATGTACGCCTAGCGATGTATTAAAAATAGGATAAAGAAGGAGTCGATCCAAATCAGTAAATTTTGCCATAGCAGAAAACTTTTTTCTACTGATAGTATTACGAGAAAAATTGTGGCTTTTATGAGCAAAAAAATTCCTAAAAAACGGTAAGTGCTCTCAAATTTTCTATTTTTTCGAAGTTGAAGTGGGGAGGAAATTATACAAACACTCACACTTTCATACTTGCAGGTAAGTTGATTAAGTTGATCGGCTGTTGTCAAGTTCATTCGTTCGTTTTCATCCAGCAACAAGGAGCAGGTTAGTGTTGGAAGGTCAAGAACTACGGGTGAAGTCTGAAATGCTACTCAAAAGAAAAATAAAATGTAAGAAATTTCTCTTGTAAACGATGAAAAGGCATTTCCTTTCATGGCACTTCGACACCATTAAAGTAACTAGAGCACTAGCAATCCTGACAAGAAAGAAAATAAACCACTGACAACCTTATCCTTAGCGTGTAGTAGCCACCGTAATCCACAATGGCATTTGAACGGATTGTTTTCAAGAAATAAGCGAAGCCGGGTTTTTGGTCCTGCGAGTGAGCCTTCTTTCAGTTCGGTTAGGTGATTTCCTCTGCAAAACAAAAAGAAAATGAACAATAATTACATCAAATCATTTCAGAAGCTGAATACTTTGATCTCTGTCTGTAATGCCAAGCATGCAGCAAAATTCCAAAAACTTTTTTAACTTATTTGAAAGACATTTTAGTCCTATCATTTTTCAGGTAATCGAACACCACAGACTGGTCGCATAAGAATAAAATGAACAATTCAATTTTGTTGTATTTTTCGGTATTTTTGGCAAAATCGTCTGT